CTCCGCGAAGCCAATTACTTCACGTGAACGTGCGTAGGATTGATAATGTTTGGGAGGAAGTGTGTTGATCTTAATAACCCTGTGTTGCGCCCATCTAGTGCGAGGAGAGTCATTGGTGCCAGCAGCTTGCTGCATCCAGAAGTAGACGCAGTTATCCAACACGGTAATGAGGCCCAGCCCTCCGCCCTCTGCCTTTGCCATGACCATGTTATCATCAAACAGTACTCCTGGCGTGTCCATCACGGAGAGGCGGTGCCCGCCAAACTCGTATTTGAGGATGCTCTTGCCGCCCGAGAGGGTGAAATAGAGCACTCCTCCAACAAGAAGACTTTGCGTGCCGTCGTCAATGGAGTGATGACGATTGGCATGAACAGAGGTCGACGCGCCCCACACGTGGGTCTCTGATGAGTACACGCTCGCTCTTATGCCGTAATCAACACTAGCTCCCACATAGACCACGATGAACGGGCCACCATGGCAGTTGAGGTGGTCGCAGGCATCCATGGCGGCACACAGGATTGCCCAGTATAGAGGTGGTTACACGGATAAGGCACGCTCAGGTGCTGCTGATCACCAGTCACAGGGTCCCAAACGACTAGCCTGTCAGACTCGAAGGTACTGATCAGCACGCGGCCATGGCGGCAGTCAAGGGCCCACCACCAGCTGCTGCTACCAACTACCAAGCACCGGCTCGGAGAAGAGGGAGGCCGTGGATGTCGTCTGGACAAACCGAGGGATCGGGCCAGGACGGGAGTAGAGGTTGTGGAAGTAGCCGAGCAAGGGCGGCGTTCGGTGGAACACGCGGTACCTGCGGAGGAAGCTGCGGTCTGAGAGGATGCGGAACCATGACTTGCACACGAGGCTGGCGCGGACAAGATACGCCGGCTCGTCCAGCGGTATGCGGAGAAGGATCTCTTCCACGAGCTCCTCCAGAAGCTCCATAAGCTCCATGCCGCTGGTTGCGTTCGATACGATGGGTAGGCTCGCGCCCTAGCCCTACGGTACTTATATACTCGACGAAGTGGATCCAACTCGGAGTCCTCTGCTCCTACGGTCCTACCACCTTGACGAAATAGAAAATAGGAGTACATGCTTGCCGTTTCGAAAACATATAAACAGGGCTTCCGAGTCAACTGCAATTGTTTAATCCTGACGCATTGGAACAGAGTAACCTGAATTTTGTTTTTATTTTATTTAATGCTTATCAGGTTCCTTAAAGACTACTCGGGATTGCTCGCACCAGAGAATTTGAAGCATCCGTGGCTCCTCCGCGCGTGGACGCGTGGTCTCGGCCTTTTTTCAGAAAAGTCCTCAAAATTTTCAGTAATCAACCTACAGTCCAACCCAACCTATGTGTACAGTACCTAGGCTGATAAGTCATGAGTGAGAGTACTAGCTTATCGTAAGAAAAAATGCTGTTTATTGACCGGAAAAGTATAGCAAGCGAAAAAGGCGTAATGTTTATTAAAACGTGAAGAGAAAAAACGATACCCTCGTCAATTTTACATAGTACCCCAGGCAATTTTGCGTAGAACCCCTCCTCCCCTTCTAACCCTACCTCCCCTCGATCCATCTCTCCTTTCTCTCTCTTCTCCCCGCCGCCGCTACAGCCGATCTCCGCATCTCAGCGCACACGGCCCACGCGGCATGCCGGCGTTCCTGGTCTCCTGCGCCGGCACGAGTGTGAGATCTGCTACCCTCCACCCCCAATTGGCACCGACGTCTCCGGCCTTGTCCCCGAGCTCTAGGCCCCTAGCCACGATCTAAAATGGAGCAGTCGCGTCCTCCATCTGTGGCCGTTGCGTCGCGGCACCTCTGCTCCCGCTCGTGGTTTGACGACGACATCGGGGCTCGCCATGCCTCCGAGACTTTCGCTCCGCCTCGCACTGCCGGGAGGTCGGAGGGGTACCCAGGCCAAGTCCAACCTGGCTGTGGAGAGCGTGAGGCCCAGTGTGTTCGCTGATTCTCCGCCTCCCCATCCGGCGTCTTGATCCAGCAGCGTGAGCCGCGGTGCTGCGGACCACCCGCCTAGGTACGCATGGTATGGAAAGTCTTCCCCAAAAATCATCATCGCATCGACCGAGACATCAGTGTTGAGCTCGCCTGTGCAGATGCAGGCTCGGAGGTCGCCAACCGAGACACACAGACCTCTGCCTTGAAGCGCGAGAGCACATCCTCGCGGGGCGCTGGCTCGACGTGGCCACCGACTTGCTCCTCACCTCCCGGTCGTGCGTTCCTTACATAGGCACCTTCCCTTTTCTTCCTCTGCCTTCCAATTCAAACGTTTTATTTGCTCACTCTTGGATGGCGATTTGGGCATTCAGTTATGCTTTTGCGGATCTGGAGTGCATCCTTTGTCATCTGCAGCCTGGTCCAGCAGCATGACGACAGACCAGCGCTGCACTCAAAGTGTAAGCAGCACCGTCAACATGAAAGTTCAATCAATTCGATTGTTTGCTCCTGGGATCTAAGGGGGTTTGCTTAAAGGCTTGGTTCCATTGTATGATGTCTGTTTAACTTGTACAATCCGCTCCTGATACCTTATGACAAAACATTTGTTACAAGAAGGCACTTCAGCTCACCACCACTGGAATTGGCAATTTGGAGCAGAGGATATGGGGAATGAGCGGTGGTGAGCTGGTCATGTGGAGCAAGCAGAAGTCTGTTAGAAACTAGCTATGGTGGACTCCATTCTCGTGGTGCTGTAGGGCAGTAGGGTGCCTTTGCCCGCAGTCCAGGACCAGGCTTTGGCCAAGTTTTATTGATATGGCAAGGTGTTCGGCTTTTGGGGAAGGTATGTGTAGTGACTCAAGCCCAGCCTGCTAGAAGATTTTTCGGGTGTCCAAAATTTTACTGCTGCAATTTGAGCTAGATGGGTTAGTAATTACAGGAAAATTGCATTGTTTTACGATTCTACACATGAACTGAATTCCAACCATTTGTTCTGAAATTCCTGACTTGCATCTTGTTTGCGTACCATCAAATGATGCAACTTAGTTGCATTTTGAGATTTATCCTTCACTGATTTGCACTAAATTTACATTCCACCCTTTTATTTTATACTATATAAGCAAAAGACATTAGCACTGTTGAAAATAGTACCTGGAGCCGAATCTGACCTTCCTTTAGTTCCTGAAAACAATCACATACTTTGTCAATCGAAAGATAAAAGAACAAAGCAGGTAGCATGGTACATATAGTTTAAGATTTTTGCTTAAATGTTCGACAGTCCATGTACTGAAACAGAGTTCTCACATTACTAGCTAAGTATTGTCAACTTAAGGTTTGAGTTTTCCCTCTAATATTAAGAAGGGTAGCTAACTGTAAAATGCTATGACACGATGTGACTATGTTCTATGAAACATGCTTGCCCTGAAATAGGGAGGAGATCTGCATTTCACTGGACTAACTTGGATGGGTTGATGGGTTGTTTCACATGATTGATTATCATTATCCATGCATCTGTCTTTGCCGTTCTAACTTTATATTAATGTTTCTTTTGTTACAGCCCACCAAAGACACAGGGAACATCTATCATGGACCACAGTACCACACGGTGTGCCGCCATCTAGAGAAAACAAGGCAGAGAATACTTTCGTTAGAACTGGGTGTCGTGACAAGAACAACAAAGCAAGGGAAGCTTATTACAAGGATCTTGGAACTGTGCTGAACAGCAAAAGGAAGCACCGCTGGAGACTTACATTGCCAAGATGGTGTACCAAGGACCCCTAGAAGTGATCTGTTTGAATTGTCCATCGTGCCTTGTCTGTAATGATACCTGTTTCATGTATACATCTTAACTAAGTGGAAGTCCGAAAATTTACCAGTGTACTGGAAATTGATTCTGGTCAACCCTCTTTATCTTTTTTTCTATAAACATCAGTCCTATAATCTCTAGCTGTAGGTATTGCTGGTCCGTGGATATGTATATCAGATTACTGATCTTGAACAATGTGCTTGCTTTGAATGGAAAATTATGTTCCTCGATCAGCGTCTCCTGTGATCTGTATAGTTTACATTCTAGGCAATTTCTATTGAGATTAACTATTTGAAAATTGATAGCCCTCGATGAGACATTTGTGTCCAAAAACGGTTCCTGTGGATGCCATGATCTTTGTTCCCCTTGGTGGTGATGTAAGTAAAATTTTCCTCCACGAAAACAGTGGCCTGTGATGTCAATTGCTTACAAAATGCTCCACGATTGCTTGGTAGGGCGCGCAAGGCGCGCATAAATTTCTAGTTTTTCATGCAAGGCACGCCCACAGGCCACATGTACACGTAATTAACTAGGAAGAGTAAAATTTACGGAGTGTCATATATAGGTCCATAGCTATGTACGGCACGCACGTGTTTATTAATAGGATATGTGGCATCTTATTATATTATTTTTTTGAGCAAACATCTTATTATATTATTAGTCTCACTATAAATAATCTATTCATTTTACCATCTAATCCATATCCAGACTTTGACAAATCTAAATTCTGAGGTGATATAGATATTTGATCACATGTATCAGTACTGAAGCCAATTTTTTCTCAACTAAAACAATTTTTGCTGATGATATCAGGAACCAACTAAATGGTCATTTCTTTGTACGATTTAGAGCCCATCTGTTAGCCACTGGCCCACTGCACTTGGCTCATAGTAATACACAAACACACAAACTGTACATGTGGCCTGTTCTCTCCAACCTGACAAATGACCAAAAACACTGATGCAAAGACGAACCACATACAACTACAAGGAGGAGCCCCCGGCCAGTAACTGTACATGAATTAGCAGGACGGAGACTGAAAATGAAATATCGCATCAGTCACACGAATATTTAGTAATAGCATAAATACTAGTCTTCAATTGATTATTCATGAAAGCCCGACTACCTTGTAGACTTGTAGGGATTGTTCATGTTTACTGTTACAATTTACAGCAGACCACGATCTTCAGCCTGAATTCACGGAATCTACAATCTATCCACATCCTCAACGATGCAACACCTTTCAGCAGCCCTGTACGTCTCTCCACTTGAGGTACACCAGCCCTGCGTGGTAGTGTGTGTAGGCTCCGGCAACAACCAAGACGTGGAACAGCTGGTGGCTGTGCCCGGCGATGTCAAACTTCCCAGGCATCCAGCGCTCAGGTACCCGGGTCGCATATACCAGTGCTCCCAGCCCGTAGAAGAGCCCCATCAGAACTTCATATCCGGTTGTGTGCAATGCCTCCGGTTGGTGCCAGAAGAGGACCAGCTTGTGAAGAACAGGTATCACACCAGATGCACCCATGCCAAAGAAGAGACATGCTCTGATGGTTCTGAACTCGGGGTTCTGGAAGACCGGAAGTAGAGAGAACGCGATAGTTGCCACTCCTAGGATGGTTATGAAACTGAGGTACATGTTGCAAAAGAAGGGGTAGCACATGAAAGAATAGTATACTGGAGGGTAGAAGGATGTGGCGATCAGAGCTGCAATGCCTGCGTAATCAAGCCGAAGCATAATGTACGCTAGGCGGCGAGAATGGCAGGAGAGAAGGTGGCAAGTACTGCTGGCGAGAAGGCAGAACATGGCTCCTCCCAAGAAAGCATAGAATGGCCACCGCGCAATTGGTCTGATTAGTTGTGGTGCAATCAGGTTTGCTAGATCCTCCTTCATGCTTTGCTGCGCAAAATGAAAACAAGAAAGATTGTTGTCTCCAGTTCTGAACACACAAGTTATGAGCCACTTTCAAAAGCAATGCATCACATAATCTGACCAGAACAGATTATCAACTTACCAGCCTTTGCTAGAGAACTCCACTAAAAGGTAAAAATATTTTTATCAATATTATCTTAAATAAAGTCATCACAATAAGGCCCAATAGCTTGACTTGACCTACAACGCTAGTAATTACACTTTCACTAATTTGGGTGAGTAATACGTAAACTAATGTTCTTTTCTTTTAACGAGACTTAACCTACAAGGCTACAATGCTAGTAATTACACTTCCATTAATTTGGGTGAGTAGTACATAAACTAATGTTCTTTTCTATTAACAAGCAGCAGAAGTCAATGCAAGCTTCTATTGATATATAGCAGAATAAATACAGTAGTATAGCCCTGGGAGACTAATGTTCTTAATCTCATAAACTGGCAACTGCCTGAATGCTACTGCTTTTCCAGTAATCACTGGTTTTCATAGTTTTACTGAGATAAACCTCTAGAAGTGAAATCTTGGTCAGCTTCAGATAAGTTATCCCTGACGTTAACGCAAAGCAGTAGTGCTCTTATAGCAACAGTAAAAGAATGTATCAAGTAATTCAGCAAGTTGTAGAGTACTTACAAGAACAGACAAACTTGTTTCATTGGGATGGGTAAATCTGTGTGGCAAACAACTTGCGAGTAACTCCAAGAGATGCCAACGGGACAGAGATGGAAGAACCTCCATAGAATTCCAAGAGCTCTTCAGCTCATCCTTCAGCTTTTGTAGATCTGAAAGGTGAGGTAACGACGGAAGACATGACACAAGCTCTGCCTGAATCTTATGAATATCAGCCTTTCTCAGCACATCCGGCAAATGCTGCAAGCTCTGGATATCTACTACATTTGGAACTTGTGTTGCTGTGTATATGGTCAGAGCGAGAAAGATGAAAAATCCAATAAGATGCCTGAAATGTGCATAGACAAAGCCTTTTAAGTAAGTAAAAAAAAAAAAAGATAGGTTTTAGAGGAACTATGGCAGGCTTAATGCCAACCTGAACAGTTATTGATGACATACAAGCCCAAGCATGGGAGATTTGTGAAAAAACCAGTGCATCATGTAACTATTAGACAAAATAACATATCACAAGTTGTTGTTTTTTGGAAAAAAATATCACAAGTTGTCATACATAATTTTTAGAAATCATACTCCTCAAATTTTAGTACTGTGCTTTCCCATCATTGTTAAACAGATACTGTGTCACAAGCCCATGCTAGGAACACTAAGTGCTAGAAACTCCAGTCCCCTCGAGATCCCGGATTTTTCCTGGGGCGAGCAATCCATGTGTATGCCATTTAAATTAGCCATTTAGTTCTTCATAGGGATTTTCCATCCCTGGGTTTGCCTCCCACTTACTTCCAAATTAGACCTACAGTAAAGGAAAGAGGCGGCCCTCCCGGTCGTTCAGCAATGCGCCAACTAGTTTAAAAAAAATGCATAGCACACCGAAAGATGGCTTCTTTAATTAGTTGGCGGTCCAGTCCTTTTCCATGAGATTTTAGGCAAAGACGACGGTACCAATTCAGTACTTTGCATACTTGCAGAGGTGCCATCACAAACGTGAAGGGGACAAAAGCAGCTAAATGAATAAAACTACAAAATTCTACATATTTCGCCAATCCATAATGAATCTGAACTCTGAAACCTATAAGCAAGCATTAAGCACAAGCAGGAAACAAACGCCCAGAAATCTCATGTAAGCATTGCAATCTGTAACAAGTTCCTCCCGAGGTAGCTAACATCAATCAGTTGGACCAAACAAACAACAATAGAACCATTAAGTAAGGGGGAGGGCAGAGGGAGGGTTTACGTACGTCCAGACGTTGAGGGTTTCGTTGTGGATGGAGAAGGCGGAGAGCAGCACCTGCGGGAGCGGCCACTCGCAGCGGTAGTGGCTGTGGATGTACTCGTTGTCGCGCAGGTAGGCCGGCAGCGCCCGGTACTCCACCAGCCCGTAGCGCTTCCTCTTCCTCATCCCCTGCTTCCCCTCCTCCTCCTTCCACTCCGCCCCCACCATCCTCTCCGCCTCCTCCGCCGCCGTCGAGGACATCGATCGCCGAGAGCGGGGACGAGGCGAGGCGAGGCGAGCGAGCCGGGCCGGGACGGGACGGGGGGTATGCGGCTTCCGCGGTCAAATATTCGCCGGGGTGCGCACGCACGCACGCGAGGAGCCGAGGACGCGCCGGTGGACGCTCGCTCGCTTCGTTTCCTTCCTGGGTTTGCGTCGGCCCGTGGGTCTCGGCGAGGAGGCCGCGCAACCGCGATCGCTTTTGGCGGCGCGGCTGCTGGGCGTCTGGGCCTGACCGTTTCGTTTCGCTCGGTGGTGCCTGGTGGGCGCCAGGCGTGGTGGTTTTCCTGCCGCGCCGTCCCGCTGCCGTCTGGCTCGGGCGGTGCCTCCCACGCGTGCGCTCGGCATGCTCCGCGCTCGCGTGGCTTTTTGGGAAAAGACGGAAGCGTGCGGGGGATCCCAAGCCGTCGCACGAAAAAGACGTGATCGGTCGTGTGTCATGTCTTGCTTCCTCCTTCGACCGTACCGGACGGAAAATGCAAAAGAACACGACGATTTTGGCGGTACGCGTACGCAAAACTTATTACTGCCTCTGTCTTAAAAAAAATACAATTATAGGTTACGTGCCACTTCGTGTCCTTCACATTTAACCAAATTTTTAGTAAATAATATTTATATTTATGACTTCAGATTAATACTCTCTCCATCCCAAATTATAAGACGTTTGACTTTTTTGACATCGAGTTTGACCACTCGTCTTATTCAAAAAATTTGTGTAAATATAGTCAAATTTAAGTCATTCTTGAAGAACTTTTATTAATAAACCAAGCCATAACAAAAGAAGTGATATTTTACACAAAATTTTAAATAAGACGAGTGGTCAAACTTGGTGTCAAAAAAAAGTCAAACGTCTTATAATTTGAAATGGATTAAGTATATTATAAAAATATATTTCGTAATTAATCTAATAATATTTATTTTATATTATAAATATTTATATTTTTTTATTATAATTAGTCAAAGGTAATATACTTGTATTTTTTAGATCGGAGGGAGTATTATTTATGACCACAGACATATGGAGCACAGAGATATTTGTTCACGAGAAAGTAGATCTGGGCCATTGTTGGGTTAAAGTTAGTTGGCCCAAAGTGAAGCTGGATTAGGAAGAAGTGATGACGGTGAACTGGTGGAGGTACTACAGGCTCAGCGTGTGTGTCAAATATGATTGGAAAAAGTCCACATTGGCCCCGTTCGTTTCACTGAAAAAATAAGCCGAAATACTGTTCCGACTGATTTGTTGTGAGAGAAAAATATTATTTTGACTAAAAAAACAAGCTGAAAAGTATAGATTATAAGAGAAACGAACAGGGCCATAATCTCCTTAACTTTTGCGAAAGTCTGCTTTTCCTCCCTGAACCTAAAAAACCGGGTAAACCACATCCCTAGACTTTTAAAACCTTTCGTTTTACCTCCCTGACCAGTTATAAGCAATTTTTAAAGACGGTTTTATTTTTTTTTATTTATTTCGGCTGAATCTTTAAAAAATCCTTGTAAATCACAGAAAAATCATAAAATGGAAAATCCAATTTTGTTAGACTCCACATGAGTAAATCTACACAGTGAACATATAATATGGCTTAGTACAAATTTTTTGCTGTAACTTTAGATCTATGCTTTTTTTAATTAATTTATAGCTGCAGCTTCTATGATTCAATTGTGGTGAAATTTTTATAGTGGGTTAATTATTGTAAGCTTGAATTGTAGTAAAATTTCATACTCATTTGATCATATATAACTTAGTTATAGACTTATAAATACTTTTTAACAAGCATACACCTAAATAAATCTATAACTAAGTTATACATGATCCAATGAGTATGAAATTTTTACTACAGTCTAAGCATACAATAATTATGCCACAATAAAATTTTCACCACAATTTGATCATAGAAACTGCAACTATGAATTAATTATAGAAAAACATAGATTTAAAGTTACAGCAAAAAAAATTGTACTAAAGCATACCATATTATATGTTTACTCTGTAGATCTATTCACGTGGAGTTGAACATAATTGGATTTTTCATTTTAAGATTTTAGAAAAAGATAATACCGTCTTTGAAAACCGCTTATAACTGGTCGGGGAGGTAAAACGAACGGTTTTAAAAGTTTAGGGAGATGGTTTATCTGATTTTAGAGTTTAGGGAGGAAAAACAGACTTTCGCAAAGGTTGAGAAGGTAATGTGGACTTTTTCCAATACAATTCCCTCAAGATAGATTGGATATAACGCCTATCTATATTCTCGGCCCAACGGCCCGGAGATCTGGATTTAACTACGTATCTGCCCTGACGCCACACTCGTATAATCGTATTCCCCATATCCACAAATACTGAAAGATCCAAGATATGGTGCACCTGTCGCATAGTATTATGTTCCATTTCCACACTGCCAGGACAAACCTGTGCCACGTAGTATCTTTTTCTTTCTTCAAAAATCCTGTGCTACGTATCTGGCATATTTGCAACCAACTACTGTACAGCTGAGTCTTCTCGAGAGTTGGAATCAAGTGGATTCCAGTGGAGTTGATGCATCGCGCATTCACCTGAGATTCTCATTCTCCCAAGTCCCAACGAACATCGCTAGCTCCTCCTGGATTCATTCAGCATTTCAGCTTTCTTCCGTGATTATCCACACAGACAGTGCAACGATGAGAACACAATGCATGCCGAATTCTGACTTACGTGGCAAGTCCCATAGCCTTACACACAGCCAAATTGCTTTATGAAATAGTAAACTATAATTATTCAATTATTCTCTTCTGAAGATGCTTCCGTTATATATATCCTAGTTGAATTCCATTATTTAAAAGTTTATCCTAGTTGAAATCCATTTTGATTACAGAGTGGCCTTTCTGCGTAGAGTGAGTGCTGATAGGGCCAAAATCCAACAATCATATATGGTAGGGAATTGTTAGCGTCTGGACGTCCAATCGAGGATGTTAGCGTCCAGATGGTGCCCGCACAGCGAGCGAGCGAGCGCCCCAGCAGCGGGCCCGTGCCGCTCCGGACATCGTCCACGTCGCCGGCCGCTTCCCGCACCCATCCCGTGTGCAACACCCGATCTCTTTTGAAACATCCAGATGCAACATACAAAATAAGACAGATGAAACACTTCAAACAAGTGTCTGAAACACAATTACGGAAATGTCTGAAAACACTTGAAAACCATTGCAAAACTCATGCAACATCCAGATGATACACTTACAACATATGTATGAAATACCTGAAATACTTGAAACATATGCTTGGCTGCTTGCAGCATGCAACATCCAGATCTACTTTTACATCATCCAGATAAAACACTTGCAACATAGGTCTAGAACAGATGAAACATCTGGTACATACACCTGAAACATACGTGTATAGCCACTACAACATGTGTAACGTCCCGATTCTATTTTTGCAACATCGATATACTACACTTGCACTATACATCTAAAACACTTGAAAGATACTCTTCCAACCTGCTCTTTTAGTGTAGCATCTACTTGTTGCTTGGACGAATGGAGAGTTATCGACGCTCAGCTCGACGTCGCAAAGTGGCGCGGGGAGAGGGGGATGCCAACGTGTGGGCGGCTATGCGGCCCCAGCGAGCGGCTTTGTGGCCACTGACAAGCTGCTACAGGGCTCCCGACGACTGGGCAGGTGGGTGCGGTCCCGTGGTGGTGGCGTACATCGCCGAGTGTCCCGCGCTAGGAAGAAGAGCGGCAGACGGGCAGCGCGGTGGAGTTGGCCGCGGAAGACGCATGCGCGCGGTGAAAGAAGGCTGCAAAGGGGAGGAATGGGAAATCGACATTCTTTTATGGAGAAGGCGGGAGCGGGCTTCGTATTGGGCTCCGCTGGCCCAGAAAGGACACGTCCGGAGCGTCAGACGCCCTTAGGAGAGCATTTGCATATAGGTCTGTTTGGATCATTGGAATTGAATTTATTATAATAATTATAATTTAGGCACGTATTAATTAAGCTAATATGATTGTATATGAAATATATTTGTATATTATTGTTAGCCATTAAAGAGATATACTTATTTGTTGTATTATATTATAGAGAAGCGAGTTGAAGAGCATGTTATAAGCGGCAGAGTAGAAATATAGCATGATGATCTATAAATCAATTTTCATCTTTCATCCTATAAATTTGAGATAGGCTTATTTGCAAGCTTAGGAAAATTGTGGAATGTTAAATTCTAAGCCAAATAGCATAATCTATTAAGGAAATTCTAATTCCTCCAAAATAAAAACATCGAAACGCCCCCTATGATATATCTGCATGGAGCTGGGCTAGTTATCTCCAGTCGTGTTGTTTCCTCGGATCGATATTCTGATTTATCTGAACCTCGTTGTAATGTGAGATTACTTAGCCCTAGAACTAATGACGCGTCATTTTTAGTTGACAAACCGCCATATATTGATGTGGTTCCTTGCTGACAATAAACTCATTACAAGAGTCCTGTATCTTTCAGTCTGACTGATCTAGCACGATGGAAATAATTCATGGGGAAGTAAAGCATAAATTCCATTATGTCAGTAAACTAAAGCTTCAATTCTCAGTCAGCTTTTCATTAACCAACCGACTAATAAGCAGTCCCCAAACATTCCAGAAAAGTAGTAAAGTAATCGGCTTGACTCAGAAATGAAGTATCGGTCTTCAGAGTCGCGGGAGTTATTGGTTGTTGATTCAGCTAGCCAACGAAGCATGCATGTCATGGTTCTCATATCTCCGTAGACTTCCAATGAGCCAGACTTCAAGCAATTGTTCCATAACTTTTTCTGAACCAAACTTGTTTCATATTTCAATACCAGTAACCGGTCCAGATGCAGCCCGAACACTTTTTTAGACTCCACATCAATCCTCGTATTAGTTATGCTAGAAGAATAGGCGAAAACGCTTTATTATTATTATCAAAACACACACAAACAGCAAATGAGCAAACGAACGAGAGACACTGCATCAAACCTATTTTTAAATTACTCACCTT